TTAATATAGGTTATTATTTAATTGCATGTTTAATTGAACAGAAAGCTATTCCTACAACTGAATTTATTCTATATTCTACTCCTATTATGTTTAATTGAATGATATGTACTACATATTTTAATATTAATTAAAAAAAAATTTAAACCCTTTCAAAAAATATTAATTATACAACCCTTGTTAGCTTTTGTCCGGAAAACAAATTGAAATCGTCACGTTAAATAAACATTTAATTATTATTCATGATTACAATAGCTCAACAATTTAAAGCTACTTTACAAGCATACACAAGACTAATGATTTATTATACTAACAAGTATGAAACTGCACGAGTCCATAAATTACTTACCATATGTATATACGATGAGGCAGAGGAGTCGCCCATAATTTATACGGAGTATAATATGCTGATTTGTTTATTATGGGTTGATGAATCTCACCAAACCAATTAAGAAAAAATGAGGGAGTTCCCGAGAAAATTAAAGAATAAAGATGAGCTGCAATAGAAATACCTATATATATTATTTATAGTGTGAACTGTGAAGTAAAAGTCTGGTGAGAGTGGGTCGAGATTCCCACGTGAGAGATCAATGATTGTTGGTGTAAGTATAAGGTAATAAGGGAATGGAAAATGTGTCTTGTGGGAATTTTGGTGTACACATTGTGGAATGTGGATAGACTCATAAATTCCCAAAAGTGGTGAAGTTAGAGAGGGTTTAGAGGAGGTCTGTGCCCCGGAAGATTATGATCGAGTTTAGCACATTTTGATCCATTTTTCTCAATCCATTTCGGATGGGTCGGTTTATAATCCAAAGGTATAAATCGTAAACTGAATCATCGATAGGTTAGTCGGTTTTAGTCGGTTTAATTTTTTCTGTTTTTTCATTCACCCCTGCTTTAGGGTAAAATTCCTGAAATATGAGTAACAACGTTTGAATATTCCAAAAAAGAATTGCCATGTTTTTATTTTCTAAATATGAGTATAATACTGTCAAACTTGGAAAATACTGTTAAGTTTAAAGCATGATACTGCCAAAATATGACAGTAAGTACTCTTATTCAGGGAATTAAAACACATATAATAGTCATAATTTGAAATATACAAACATTTTAAGTCGTATTTATCGCAATTTCCCCCCTACTTTAAACATGCTCATATCCGTGTGCATGAAAACCAATGTATGTGACACTTGGTTAGGCATTTGTTTGTGACGTTGAATTTCCTTGACACAAAGATTTTAGTCATTTGTGTACTGTACAAGCAATCTTTTGGGATTAAGGTTGAACTTGTTATTGTTGTTGTTGTTTAATTGCACAATGCAAAAATTAGTTGTGCCAAAAGAGTTGAAACTTGAAAGTAAGTACAAAGTGTGAATACCAAACATTCTTCATTGCTAAAAGAGTTTTAACTTTGAGGGATCTAGAAATACAAGTAGTTGTCATTTTCCTATTTTAAGATGGTAGATTCTATGGTACCCATAAGGTATCATACCTTTGTCCAAATGGACCAATGAGAATGTAGCAGTTGAATTATTTAAATGTAAATTAAAAATGATAAAGTGATGTGGTCCAATCAGATGAATGGTAGGTACGGTACCCCATTTTTTAGGAGGGTACCGGAGTTGTCACCTTTTAAGATAAGGTGTAAATCGTGGGACAATAAACCAAATTGCATAAAAGTCGAGAATCCACAATAATTTTACTTTTCTCCACCAGCTCATTTATTTTTCTAGTTTCTTCTTGTGCCTCTTTTACTTTTTTTTTTTCAGAGCCAGCCCTCAATTTCTCTTTCAATCTACCGTGATGTCCATGACTTGGAATTTTGTTGGTGACTTCCATTAAGTTTTGTTAATTTTGAGGTACTTGTATTTCGATGTGTTACGTTGTCCATCTTTTATTCGCTATCATTATATATGGTCTTCTCAAATTAAATTAAGGACGTACATTAATGAAATTACCTAGGCATCAGGGAAAATTAAGAAACATATAGCTTACTAGGGTATCGTTGACGTTTTTAAAATAATGGTACACTAAAGAGAAGATACCAAGCCATCAGATTCAAGAGTATGTTTGAGAATTTTGTTTTGGAAGGAAGAGGAGCTTAGCTTGATGAGTGCTTATGGATTCCTATTTCTTTTAAATTGGGGGTTTCAATGATAACAAATTAAATGATAATTTTAACTCAGTTTAAATTGAATACAAGTTCAACTATTGGAATTCGTTATACGAAGTATATTTTAAGCGATTTTGATTATAATTTCTCCATTGTTCTTCTCTTTTCATTTCCCTGAGGCTAATAATCTTCAAACCTTCCTCTCCCAAACTTACCCTAAAGATCGAGTAGGTTAGGATATTGTGCGGAACGCTACCCTCTCCCCCAGCAATGCCCTAGTTCCCCTGAGAAACTATGGACTTGGGAAATATAAAAACGTAAAAGTTATGTAAGCATGCAATTTAAATTTTGAGTGTGAAATGATTTATGATCAAAATATTTCTAGTACAAAATAGTATTGTTTGATGTAAAAATCATACACGTGTACTTTTTCAACCAAATATCGGATAAGTAGAGTCAAAATATATCGTTGGTCAAACTTGACCATCATTGAACAAGAAAAGTCAATATGGTCAAGTTTCATTAGATGAACGGTCGGAACGGAGTAGTTTTCACCATATACCACAAAATTACCATAACAATCACCATTTATAATAAGGAAGTTTTTACTTGGACTGTTATCTGTCCCAGATCAGACCAGATCAAAGCAGACTTGTATAGTTATAAAAATACAAAGAAACCAAACCAGACCGGTTCTGACCAGACCAGATCAGACCAGACCAGCAAATTACAGTCCAAGTAAAAACTTCCTAAAGTGAAACAAATTTAAGTATCATTATCTATGATTCAAATCTCGAAGAATTCCACCCACACTGATGGCTTTATACCTTTGAAATAAGATTTGAGTTTGGAATTTCAAAATAGGGCTAATATGTTTTTATTCTCAAAATAGTACTAACATGTCAGTATTTACTGTCATCTAATAGGCGTGACTGCCAAATAGTTGCAATCACTGTTCTAAAACTCACCTAGGCGCTAGGCGGTGGCAGGGCGCCTCGATTTTTGCTTAGGCACTCCGACTAATTGGTTTGACGCCTAGGTGAATTTGTCGGCCGCCTAGGGCGCCTAGTTGCCCGCCAAGAGCGCCTAATCGCCGCCTAGGGCGCCTAGATTCACCGAACAATTTTTTATCTTTAAAATTTTATTTTTGTAAGAGATAAATGTATCTTTAACTTTAATCACAAATATGAGGAGATATACTTTTAAATTAAGATAAAAACTATATATGTTTGTATACATAGTTAAATATTTTTATTATTTAATATTTATAACATAATGCAATTAATTTGCATGTTACAATTCTCATTCATGCATGATGTGTGTGTATATATTTTTCATACACACAAACACGACACTACAGTTTTACTATGTATTACTTATCATATTTATGCAAAAATATTCATACCAATACAATTTATGCGTCTTCGACTAGTCCCGCCTAGGCGCTAGGCGCTGGGCTGGCGCCCGACTAGCGCCTAGCGCCTTTTAGAACATTGGTTGCAATACAGTGCATTTAGCATGACAATATTTATTATAATTAATGGTAGTATTTTCCAATCATGACAGTATTTTTTTTTATACATGACAGTAACAACTCTTATTTCGAGGAGAAAATTGCTATTGCTAAGACAAAAACATAAGTTTTTCCCCAAAATAGGACTTAATATTTGGTTTTCCTTAAATAGGACTAACTTTACCCTTTTTACCCCTAATTCAATTTAATTAATTAATTGGTCTAAATAATTGCCCCCCCCAAGTTGCCTTGCACAACCAAGGCAGTCCGTCGGTGGTGGGGCAGTCCATGGTGGCGGCAGAACTCCGGCAGCCGGTCGGCGGCGGATTCCGGCGGTGGCGGCGAACTCCGACAATTAATTAACCCAATTAATTGCCCCCCTAGTTCTCTTGCACAACCAAAGCAGTCCGTTGGTGGGGCAGCCCGATGGTGGCGACAGCAGATTCCGGCAGCGGTGGCGAACTTCGGCGGCGGCGGCGGAAGCCAGAGGCAGAAACGCTGGGAAACGTCAAGGAAAAAATTCTGGAAAAATTTACGGCGGTGGTCGCCAGAGCTCCGGTGGCGGCGGCAGCAGGTGGTCGGAGGCAGGCGGTTGGCAGCAGTCCAAGGTAGAAATAGAGGTATTTTGGTCCAATTACACATAAAAAGTCCTATTTAAGAATGTTTAAACTTAGTGATCCTATTGTGGAAAAAATACTACTCCCTCCGTCTCAAATTGTTTTGCAAAGTCAACATTTTTTGGTCAACCAATAATAAAAGTCAAACCTCTTTATTGATAACTAACTTAATTTTAGTTATTATAATTTACATATTCAGAAACTACATTAAATTCTCTTCAAAGTTGCAAATTCCAAAGCAGAATATGATTAAAAATTGGCATCCCAATTAAGCAAATAAAATGAAACTGTTTGATCAAGAAAAGTCAAATTTGCAAATCAATTTGGGACGGAGGTGGTATGTTTCACTCCTATTAGGGTAAAAGCCCCTATTTTATGAAGAAAAACATAGTAGTCCTATTTTGAAATTTCAAATCTCATTTACTCCTAAACAAGGAAGAATCAGAGATGCTTCCTCAAAAATGAAATCTCAATTTAATTGACATGTAGAATTGTCTAGACATAGGATGATAATGACCCCTTGATGAGGTACATCATATTCCCTGTCATAGAATTGAAGGTCCGAGCTAGTCACGTCTTTTTACAATAAAATTGCGCGTCACAAAAAATAAAAGATTGCCACAAATTAAATATGAGTAAACATGGGTGATGTGCACAAATTATACTCGTATGAAATACTATCTATGATTCTTTAAGTTCAAGTTCTAACCAAGAATATATATAGTTAAGCACATTCGACGTATGGGTGCAGCAGAGCCATCTACACCAAACAAATTGAAAAAGACAAACTAGACTTTGATTTATAATATCAAATCTTATACGAAGTACATCGTATTTAAAGCCTCTATAACTCGTATGAGCAACCAATGAAACTATGAACAAAACTAGCATACACATCACACAATTCAACATAGGTGGCTTATCATGTTTTTACTTGGACGGTTTCCAGTCCCAGACTAGACCAGACCAGAATGGTTATAAAAATACTGTTGGGATATTAGGTCCAGGCCCAATATCCCCGGCCCAAAATATGAGGAAACCAGGAGAAAGCGTAGGGCCCAAAGCAGTCCAGACCCGTTCGGCATTCGGCACAATTCATATACTTGGAGCATTTCAGGAAACAGTTACACCCAAACACCCATGACGGGGTCCCGCCAACCGAACGCCCTACCCGAACGGGTAGTCATCAAGTGGATGCCGCATTTAATGCAAAAGCATGGCGGCAGCAAGTGGGGGCATGAGTTCCTACGTGGCAGGGGCCACAGCCTACCGGATCCAGCCACGTGTCCTGCTTTCCCTTCCCCATTTTAGTATAAATACCTGCATTAAGAACATTGTAAAGGGTTAGCATTTTAATACTCAGAGCTTAGCAAGTAGAATTATCTCTCTTATTGACGTGCACTTTGTCGTGGTGTGCACTCAAAATAATTATCAATACAACACTTATACGTAGTATAGCGTAGTAAGGTTCGTATCCACAGGGAAAGGAATACTTTTCTTTTTATAGAACTAGTAACAAAATGGGGGTTTTTAGTTTGATTTGGTTTAATAAATTAAACACGAAGATGAACGAGTTATGTGGTTTAATTAATGAGAAGAAGACTTGGCTTTGCTTTTATCCACTTAATGAAATGTTCGTCGATCCCGGTTATATCTTTAACTATCTTCCTCTCGAATACTCAATCGAGGAATATATCCAGTTCATCGAGGGTAGTTATTAATAACGAGACGCGTTCATTAATAAAACTTACTACCGAGTCAATATAGAACAAGCGCCGTAATTAACTTGATAGTAGCAATAAAATCAAGATGAAAACGATTGAGATTGATAACCTCAACACAAGCGGTTTATTGGTTTAATCAATATAATTAATTCCCCTTGGCTTATTAATCATGAGAAGCATGCATTAACAACCCAAGTTTACTACCATTGAAAGAACCGAATTAATAACAAGCGTATTAACCGATTGATTCTAGTAATAATTAATATATGAAACAAAACTAGTTGATCCTTTAAGTAATGTTCAAAATATTAATATGAAATATGAATAGGAATTAATTAATACTCAAGGAAGAATATTAAAGAAGATGAATCCTACTATAGTTAATATCAAGATGTTAACTAATTGTCATCTTAGTAACACTCCCCAATATTAACATAGAGGAAGAAATAGCTATTACTATAATTAATGTCAAGATGTTAACTAATTGTCATCTTAGTAACACTCCCCAACATTGATATAGAAATAGTATTTAAAGGAAGAATTAATATTCAAGGAAGAAGATTAAAGAGAATAACTCACTTCTTACAAATTCATTAAGCTTCAAAGTAGCAAAACCAAGATGGAAGAGTTTAGCTCCTCATTTGGAGACTAAACATGATAGAAAATATAAAGAAAACACTAATCTAAACTGAGCTAAAGAGTATATGTGAATTGGTTCCCTTAATGTGAAGGAAAAGGGGTGTATTTATAGCAAAATAGAGGTGGCAGGGTTCGGTACTCGATCCAGTATTGGCAATACTGGACCGAGTATGAGAGGAAATTTCCAGGAAATTGTGAAAAATAGGCATACTCGACCGAGTATTGCCAATACTCGACCGAGTATGCGACAGGATTTTCATCAAATATTCAGCCACGTTCTTTTGCTCCCAGATTTGATTTTGACCAGCGTATCAGGCCAATACTCGACCGAGTATTGGTAATACTCGACCGAGTATTGAACAAATTTCAAAATCTTCATTTGATCTTCTCCTTTTTGCACATTCTTTGGTCTTTAGGATCCATCCTTTGATTCTTGGGATGATTTTGACCTGTCCTAAGCTCAATATAATCCTAATCTAAATAAATTACAAATAATTAATGAAAATAAAGTATTACACCAAAAGTGTGTAATTTGTACAACTCGAACTAATAAAACTAGTTAAAAATACAAACATACATAATAAGAAATTCACCCTATCAAACTCCCCCACACTTAGTTTTTTACTCGTCCTCGAGTAAAGTAGAATGTTCCAAAACGTTTAAGAGTTTTAATGAGTGCTAAGAAGAAAGAACGTAAGACCACCAAGGAATGAGTTTATAAAACAACATTGTTCTTGGGTTTTTGGGTCTTCTATGCTCAAACTTTTTTCTTCTTCTTCTTTCAAGAGATCAAATGAGGTCCTGTAAAAAAAACAGATATTTCTCTCATATCTCTCATTTTGCCTAGGAGCCTTTTCAGGTTTTCATCCTAGCACCTCTTTTAATTTTTCCATCCTTTCCAACTCACTCATTTTTTTGTTTATAAGCCCTTTTTGCTTAGATTGCCCGTTTTTGGGTTTTCAACCTAACTAGCATTTTTTTTCTTTTTATTATTTTTTTTAAAACAAAGAAAATAATGCTCAGTACAAGGTAGAAAAAGGAAATTTACATACCAATGAGGAGTCTCCCCCCTTCTTAATCCAAGCACTGTCCCTAGTGCCCGCCCTCGCCACCATAGAAACCGCCTCCAAAGCCGCCGCCGGTGCCTTCGTCGCCTATAGTGTCATCGCCTCCGAATCCGCCATTATAGCCCCCACCGCCAGAACTCGATCCCCCAAAACTACCATAGTGAGTGGGGTCATACCATGAGGGTGGTGGAGGTGGGGTGGCCATAGCATTATAAGAGGCTTGGTGAGCTATGTAGGAGTACATTGGACCATACATTCTACGGTGATCTTCCTCATATCGTTGATTGTCCGTTTGGCGTTGCTCCTCCAATCTTTGAAATCCCGTGCTTTGCTCCTCTCGATAACGAACAACTTCTTGCCTAAGTTGGTCAAATTGACCCCCCATGGTTTTGTACTCCGTGCTCATGTTTTGAAATCCGGCTAGAAGTTGTTGGAAATAGTCGGTTGGAGGAGGGTTTTGCGGTGGGTTTTGCGGAGGGTTTTGAGGTGGGTTGGGTATGTCCTCATGCATATCATCATGATGCTCTTCCGGTTGATCATCTACAGGATGTCGGAGGTGTGGAGGTATAGCATTGATAAATAAGTAGTGGCGGACATGGCTCATATCCTCGGTGAAAATAAGTGGAGGTAGGTCATCGGAGGGCAAAGTGAAATATCGGAAGGGCCTAGGATGAATAGTCCACTTGTAGTAGTCCTTACCTTGCTCATTATAATGGGAATGAGAGATACATAAGGCACTAGTCAGATAATCAATGTCCATCAAACAGTAGTCGGCTATAGGATGACGATCCGTATAGCCAAATTTTGTGGCCAAATGCATAATTACTCCTCCCGCCCAAATATTCCCCGTTGCTTTGCATTCTTTTTTGAGATGTTCCCACATCAAGTTGCACAAGTTAAAGGGTGTTGCATTTGCATTTTGGGACATGGTCAATAAGCATACCTCACCCATTCTTGTGTGATGGTTGTTTGGGCGCCCAAGAACGCTATTAGCCAAAAACTTCAAGAATATGCGAAACACCGGGTGTTGGACATGAGTTGTAGTGAGTGAAGAGGAACTAACTCTCTCTTCTCCCGTCATTTTTTTCCACATGTTATGTCCATAACTTGTGTCATCGGAATTTTTCCTCATATTAGGAATCGGGATGCCAAAATGATTTGCAAACTCACGTTTTGTAATTGAACGTTCAGTGTTGGAATACCTAAACGTGAGTTTGTCCTCAAGAAAATCATTTGCATTTGATACAAACATGGCTGAGCTCAAAAACTCGTAGATAACATCCTCATTTGAATTGTACTTCATGTCAAAAATCAATTCCATACTCAACTTCATGAACAAAGCATGCATTGTTTCAATAATACCTAGAGTGGTAAGAGTAGCATGACACAAAAAACGTGAAGGGTGTACCTCTATTTCAATTTGTTCAACAAATTTCTCCCTATGTTCGTCGTTTCTGAAACGGACCCTTTCATAGCCTGGAACTGGTGTCCTTGCTGATTGTGTCACGGCCCTATCTCGTTTGGGAGCCATGGGTACCTCTTAGGCTCTTACAAAATTCGGACTTTTGTGATTTGGGGCTAGGGTTTTTCGGATTTTGAATTTAGGGGGAGAGGATAGGATTGATGGGTATTGGTGTGTAGGGGAGAGTGAGGGGAGAATTTTGGTGGTGGTTTGGAAGGATTTGGTTGAGAAATGAGGGAGTAATTGAAGGTTGAATGTTCGAAAATGGTGGTGTTTGTAGAGAGAGAAAGCAAATGTTGGGTTGGGGAAGATGAAGTAGAGCTATGGATCGGACGAGTTTAGTTTAAAAATTCGTATACTCGACCGCGTATCCTCCAATACTCGGTCGAGTATGTTTAGAAATGCATGTTCTTGCGCGTTGGCAGTGAGGTCCGAAACCTGAAGATCCGTTGATACTCGACCGAGTATCTTCCAATACTCGACCGCGTATCACTCTAAACCTCTGTTTTTGCGTCTGAGGCAGTAGCTTCTGAGATCTCTTTTCTGAACATACCCGGTCGAGTATTCTGGATACTCGGTCGAGTATCAATAAAAACATTTTTTTTTTCGCTCCAGGTATCGGAACTCGGTCGCGTATAGATGGTACTCGACCGGTTTTTTGAAGCAGTGGTCTCTGCGGGTTTTCGCCTTTCCAAGCATACTCGATCGAGTATTTGCAATACTCGACCGAGTATGCTTCCTTCTCTTCAAAAACTGCCCTCTTTTTTTTTGTTTTTTTTTTGTTTTTTTTTTTTGCTTTTGAAAAGGGTTTTCTCACACATACAAAAATGATCAAAAATAATCAAAATACAAACTTGGGTTGCCTCCCAAGAAGCGCTTGATTTAATGTCGCGGCACGACGTTTTTTTTTTTCTTTCATTTTTATGTGGGATCGTGAACATCCCTTGTTTCATTCTTTATTTTCGGTCTTTTCCAGTAAGACCGAACTTTCTTCTTTGTTACCACCTCATATTTTGGTGATTTATCTAGTGATTCTTTAAAGGGAGAGTGATTTTTAATAGAATTATAAATGTTATATTCTACTTTTCTTCCATCAAATTCCATAGTTAAAAGTCCGCTAGAGACATCAATCGTTGAATTAGCGGTTTTTAAAAATGGTCTCCCTAACAAAATAGGGACCTCGTGTTCATCACTTTCCATTTTAAGTACGTGAAAATCGGCAGGAAATACTAGATCACCTACCGAAACTAGTACATCTTCCACTATCCCCTTTGGGAAAACAGTTGATCTATCGGCCAGTTGAATTATGACACTAGTTTCATTTAAAGGGCCAATGTTCAAGGATTTATAAAGATTGTAGGGGATCACGTTAACTGATGCTCCTAAGTCTATCATGGCCCTAGAAATTGTGTCTCCTAGCTTGCACGGTATAGTGAACATGCCCGGATCAGTGCATTTTTTTGGGAGTTTTCTTTGAAAAACTGCCGAAACATGTTCACTAATTTCAACTTTCTGTTTTCCTTTTGAGTGTTGTGTCCTCTTGGTTGTGCATAATTCTTTTAAAAATTTAGCAAATCGAGGGACACTCTTAATTAAATGAAGGAGTGGAATGTTTACCTCACAATTGGTGAAAGTCTCATAGATGGGATGCCCTTGTTGTGTACAAATACCGCAGACCTTGACTTCTTGGGTCTTGGATTTTAAGAGAAAATCTTTAACCAAAGAAGTCAAGCCGGCCACTTGACTTTCCAACGAGGTGTTGAATTCCGCCGCGGCAACCCTTCGGGTTGAGGATCGCCCATTGTAGTGTCTAGAATTCTCGGCCAACTCCGAGATGAGATTTCTTGCTTGAGAAGGGGTTTTGTTAACAATCCCCCCTCCACTTGCCGCATTCACCATGCGCCTATCTTGATCCGCAAGACCATCATAAAAGTAGAGGATGAGGTCTTGCTCAGTGTACCCATGATATGGGCAACTAGCACACAACTTTTTGAATCGCTCCCAATATTCATACAAGGACTCATCATCTTTTTGATCAATGTTGCTTATTTGTTTTTTCAAAGATGATGAGACAGAAGCGGGATAGTACCTTTCAAGAAAGCACTTCTTCATTTGTGCCCATGTGTTGATGCTCCCCGAAGGAAGATAGAAAAGCCAATCCTTCGCGGTGTCCTTCAAGGAGAAGGGGAAGGCCCTCAGTTTGATTTGTTCTTCGGTGACACCGTTTGGGCACATGCTTGTGCAAACGATATGAAACTCCGAAAGATGTTTATTCGGGTCTTCTCCTCTCAGGCCATGGAAAGATGGCAATAGATGAATGAGCCCAGATTTTAGCTCAAACGTATTACCCTCATCAAGAGTGGGGAAGGTAATACACAGTGGTTGTTGGTTGAGATTTGGAGCGGTGAGCTCCCTTAATGTTCTCGTCTCATGAGCCATAGTGATTGACTCTTCGTTCTCGCTAGAATAAGAACTAGCGCTTGATGACTCCTCCGAAGAAGTATTCGGAAATAAATTCCTAAACCTCTCGAAGGCTTGTTCTGTTTCGGAGTTTGTTTGGTAGGTAATTGGGTTTAGAGATCGGGTTTTAACCATATACTCAAACAAAGCTCAGCAAAAAAAATAAGAACTCTTTATATTTTTGTAATTTTTTTTTTTTGATTTTTCTTGAAATAAAATAAAAAGAAAAATAATTGCCTTTCCCCGGCAACGGCGCCAAATTTGACGTGCACTTTGTCGTGGTGTGCACTCAAAATAATTATCAATACAACACTTATACGTAGTATAGCGTAGTAAGGTTCGTATCCACAGGGAAAGGAATACTTTTCTTTTTATAGAACTAGTAACAAAATGGGGGTTTTTAGTTTGATTTGGTTTAATAAATTAAACACGAAGATGAACGAGTTATGTGGTTTAATTAATGAGAAGAAGACTTGGCTTTGCTTTTATCCACTTAATGAAATGTTCGTCGATCCCGGTTATATCTTTAACTATCTTCCTCTCGAATACTCAATCGAGGAATATATCCAGTTCATCGAGGGTAGTTATTAATAACGAGACGCGTTCATTAATAAAACTTACTACCGAGTCAATATAGAACAAGCGCCGTAATTAACTTGATAGTAGCAATAAAATCAAGATGAAAACGATTGAGATTGATAACCTCAACACAAGCGGTTTATTGGTTTAATCAATATAATTAATTCCCCTTGGCTTATTAATCATGAGAAGCATGCATTAACAACCCAAGTTTACTACCATTGAAAGAACCGAATTAATAACAAGCGTATTAACCGATTGATTCTAGTAATAATTAATATATGAAACAAAACTAGTTGATCCTTTAAGTAATGTTCAAAATATTAATATGAAATATGAATAGGAATTAATTAATACTCAAGGAAGAATATTAAAGAAGATGAATCCTACTATAGTTAATATCAAGATGTTAACTAATTGTCATCTTAGTAACACTCCCCAATATTAACATAGAGGAAGAAATAGCTATTACTATAATTAATGTCAAGATGTTAACTAATTGTCATCTTAGTAACACTCCCCAACATTGATATAGAAATAGTATTTAAAGGAAGAATTAATATTCAAGGAAGAAGATTAAAGAGAATAACTCACTTCTTACAAATTCATTAAGCTTCAAAGTAGCAAAACCAAGATGGAAGAGTTTAGCTCCTCATTTGGAGACTAAACATGATAGAAAATATAAAGAAAACACTAATCTAAACTGAGCTAAAGAGTATATGTGAATTGGTTCCCTTAATGTGAAGGAAAAGGGGTGTATTTATAGCAAAATAGAGGTGGCAGGGTTCGGTACTCGATCCAGTATTGGCAATACTGGACCGAGTATGAGAGGAAATTTCCAGGAAATTGTGAAAAATAGGCATACTCGACCGAGTATTGCCAATACTCGACCGAGTATGCGACAGGATTTTCATCAAATATTCAGCCACGTTCTTTTGCTCCCAGATTTGATTTTGACCAGCGTATCAGGCCAATACTCGACCGAGTATTGGCAATACTCGACCGAGTATTGAACAAATTTCAAAATCTTCATTTGATCTTCTCCTTTTTGCACATTCTTTGGTCTTTAGGATCCATCCTTTGATTCTTGGGATGATTTTGACCTGTCCTAAGCTCAATATAATCCTAATCTAAATAAATTACAAATAATTAATGAAAATAAAGTATTACACCAAAAGTGTGTAATTTCTACAACTCGAACTAATAAAACTAGTTAAAAATACAAACATACATAATAAGAAATTCACCCTATCACTTATTCTTGTATTCTTGTACTCACCTACCGTTCGGATAGTCCAAGTGTAATCACAGCTTTACTGAATACAAGTTAGCTCCTGAGTTGAGTAATCTTTCACTGTTTTATATTCTATACACTTGCCAAACCAACTCAACATCCTTACAATATCCAAAGCTTGTGTTGGGCTTTCGGATCTTCGGGAATAAACCTCAACATTGGCGCTGTCTGTGGGAAACTGAACAAAAATCCCAAGCAAAACCTTTGATCTAAGCACTATTTTCTTTGAAATGGCTAGAATTACTTCAGCGACACCGAGTTCTGCTACCAGAGGCCGAAGAGGCAATGTATCCTCCGAGGGGTGGTCCATGCAGGGACAGGCCAGTGGTAGTGCCACCCAAGAATTCGAGAGCATCATCCCACATGATGTGAGGAGAAACCCTCAATTAATGAGGGAGATGGCAGAGGCCATGCAGCGCATGGCGAACGAACAAGAACAAAGAGGAGGATACACCGATGAAACTCGTGAACAATTCTCCCCTGTCCGTCCTATGCCATCCTTCGAGGAAGGAGAAGACACTGAGACCACCACGGCCTCAGCACATTCCCAGGAGCACCGGGGGAACCAGTGGAGGGCCCACGCCCCTAGACACGCGCCGCAGGCACCGGCCAACCGAACCCCGTTCGTACCTCGGAACGAGGCTCAGTATCTGGAGGCTACCCCCATGGTAGATCCCGTTGGGCAAAACTTCCAATATGTAGAGAGGGATGGGGAGCGTTTCATTCGGAGAAGGGCGAACACAGCCGCCCCTCCCCCGGACAGGGTACCAGCATTCGTGGAGGCGAGGGTGCCCCAAGCTTCCCGAACGGCCCAGGACGAAGAAATTGCCGAAATGAGGAGGCAAATGACTGAGCTCAGAGAGCAGATGAATCGGACGCCCCAGCAAACCCTGCCAGCACGGGTTGGGATCACTTCTCCCTTCACAAGGGAGATCATGAATGCAGAAATCTTGAGAGATTGT